CCATACACGTCGCGCTCTAGAGATCAGTTTCAGAGATCAGTTTCAGAAATTGCCAATAAAACAAAGTCGTCTGCCAAACAACATCCTTCTAGATTCGACGACTTCCACACCGATTCACTCATCGCCTTGATTGCGCCTGATTATTCTATCCAATAACAAAACAGGAGAGAAGACAGAACGCCGCTTTGGCAGAGACCAAGACCAGCGCTGAAAGGCTTCAACTGAACTCCATTCACTCTGACGCAGCACCTGTTATTATATAGTGATTTAATGATCCGTAGCAGCTCGCTCTCTGCCCCCTCCGTTCAGAAAGGATAGTGACTCCGTTGTTGATTTGTTCTTTTGTCTTCAAGTCGATCTTTGGCAGCCATCGCCGTTCTGCATTGTCATCAGATGCGAAAAGGCGAAAAGAAGGGTGTTGATTGCCGATATTTTGCAGTCTGATTTAGATGCTTAACATCCTGCGCGGTCTTTGATGATCCTTTCGACGACCGTGGCAGGAGAACGTTCAATAACAGCAATACCATGAGGGAAATGCGGCTGAATTTGACGGAAGACTTCGCGATGGCTTCTAAACCTTCTTTCTCTTCCGGACGTTGAACAGTTAATGAAGGAATTATCGCTTCTCATTTGTCGAATTCAATCCATGAATTAATCATTCAAGCATGGGCAACTTGCTCAAGTTTGAATTCTCCTATACGTAGATTGCCACCACGAGACGCAGAATCGTTTAGATCCTTCATACGATTCTACACATGCACTCGTTTTTCCGTTCTGTGTTAATATTTGGTTCGTGTGTTTTTAATCATTCTCAAAAATACCATGAATTCTTTAAATTTTATGCAAAACGCATAAGATAAGCAGTACCACGATTGTATAACGCCGACGTTTCAGCTTCATGAACGTTCTTCAAGGTTTGGATGGAATAAAACGCGGAAGTAGTACCTGTTACGTGCAGCCGATTTGTAAGTTTGAGCCTTAAAGCGATCTCTCAGTTCGGACTGCATATTAAGTAGTTTCGCGACATCATACCCGACAAGATTTATTGATTCCGCGGCTTCCAAAGAAATTCTTGAAGGTTTCATTCTAGAGGGAAGGCGTTGTATTCAGCTATTCAGCATGTAAAGGTATTCAGCTAGAGGTTAATCTGACTTAGATAGAGGACGCGGATGATATCATTCTCGTTAGTGATACGGGAAGCTGGCTCCATTCTGTCTGCTTCCACATGCAGCATAGCTGCGAAAATCGGCCCCTTCCGTAACACTTAGAAGTCATACGTTATGAACAACCAGTTTGTTACATCTGATCTACCAGCAGGGCAGATAGGTGAAACCCTTCTGGAGATTAATTAGCTTCATCATCTCCAACGATTATACTACTGAGCCGGGTTTAAATGCGAGGATCGTGCTAGCCAAGAGTGTTTTTGAAAAGTGCCCAATTGAGAAAGCAGCTATTTTTCATATAAAAATTCGCTTGTACCTTGTCTCTGTCAAGTCAATGAGAGACAGTTATTCCAAAGAAGGAGCAAGAACGACAGTTGAATTTCGTCCTCCGCATTGGTTTCGACGTATAATCAGGGTCAATGGCATGGCCACATGAGGAATGATTCCATTATCCATCACACAGGGGACTTCAATAGATATTGAGTTTAAGAAAAAGAGGTCGGTCCTATTAGACGAACGTTTGAGCATACACGACTTACTCTAACTCCTAAGCTTCTTGCATGGGTTACGGGACACTGCATCCGACAACCAGGAGGCCAGAGTAGAACCTGGAGGAAAACGGTAGAGGCAAATGTACTTTATGAAAGCAACCTTTCTTTGCTAAGCAATCACCGAAACCTTATAAAAAAGTGCTTAACGTATTGCGGATACAGTGACGTTACAGAAAAACGCACTGCTGAGGAAAGTGACAAAATGTGATGATTTCAGCAAACAGCACATAAACAAACATCAGTTTTGCGCAGAATTTGCAGT